TTGAACAATTTCCATATGTGATTAAACACAAGCATGGAAAAGATAATGTTATTGCCGATGCATTGTCAAGGAGATATACTCTAATTACTGCTCTTAGTTCAAAATTGCTTGGACTTGAGTATGTTAAAAAATTATATGTGAATGATTCTAACTTTGGCAATATATATGTGGCATGTGAGCATGGAGCATTTGATAAATTCTATAGACATGATGGATATTTGTTTAAGGGCAACAAACTTTGTGTGCCTAAAGTGCCTAAGTGTTCTATGCGTGAATTGCTTGTGCTTGAATCTCATAGTGGGGGATTGATGGGATACTTTGGGGTACATAAGACTTATGATATGTTGAATGAACACTTTTATTGGCCTCATATGCATAAAGATGTAAAAAGAGTTTGTAATTCTTGTATTACTTACAAACAGGCCAAATGTAAGTCTATGCCTCACTGATTATACATGCCTTTACCTGTTCCTAGTTCTCCTTGGATTGATATATCTATGGACATTGTACTTGGATTACCTAGGACTAAGCGTGGTAAAGATAGCATATTTGTTGTTGTTATAGATTTAGCAAGATGATTTAGCACAAGATGGCTTATTTCATTCCTTTGTCATAAAAACTATGATGCCAATAAATTATTGAATTATACTTTAAAGAAGTGGTTAAAAGATTGCATGGAGGGACCAAGAACTATTGATTACGGATCCATCATCACTCGTCGTGGCATCACAAAGGACGCATTGGTGAACGACGAAGGAGATCATATGGTTGCTTCCTATTGGACGATTACAAGGAGCCGTTTGCCAAGCGATATGGGGCAAGCACATATCATTATTTGTTTTCAAGCCCAAAATACACAAGGAACTGATGATGTTGCATTTCATGATGTTGCATTCAACAAGTGTTGTGAGGAACTTGAAGGCATTCCTAGGCTTCTAATGTTGTTGGTGGCTCTTTAAGTGGAGGAAAGCACGCTGCTATAGTAACGTGCTACAGGAACTCAGAAGCGCTACAGTGCTACAGGAACTCAGAAGCGCTATAGTGCCGCGCCAATCAGTTTGACTTTGCTACAGTAAATTTTGACAGTGCTACAATAACGTGCTACAGGAACTCAGACGCGCTACAGTAACGCGTTTTATGTGTTTTATGCTTCATTAAGCCCTAGTTTCTTGTTTTAGTATAAATATCTTGTATAAGAACACAACTTTGAGATATTGAAAACTTCATATGTTCAAGCTTTGCTTGTTCTCCTTTGCATATAGTGATAGTGAGAGATTGCTTCCTCTAATTCTTCCTCTAATTGCATCAAGAATTAAGGTAAGCTTATCAACTTGTTTGTGGCGTTTATCTTGTTCTTTGCTCGATTATTGGTGTTACCGTTTCAGTATAAACGTGGGGTGCCATAGAGCGTTTAATCTCGATTATTGGTGTTTCCGTTTCATTATAAACGTGGGGTGACATAGAGGCGAACTTATATCTCATTCTTTGATCCGATCCGTATCAATTTGATAAACACTAGTCAAGGAATTCAAAAGTTATACTACCTTTACATAAGGATCCCACCAGCCATCTGCAATATAATGGGACCTAATTCTTGAAACTTAGATAAATCCCTAGTATCATATATATATGTATATATATATATATATACATTGAATTTGCATAAATCGTAGCATACATTCACCCTCAGGTTAAGTCATTTGAACTTGTAATAGGCTTTAATCCACTAACTGTATTAGATTCTTGCTTCCTTTACCTTTGAATGAACTTTCTAATCGCAGGGATTCCCTAATGGTAAGAAGAAGCCTACATTGGTGAAGGAGATGCACGCTAAGGCTAGGGTTCATATGAACATGAAGAACAAAGGCTATGCCAAACGTGCCAACAAGAGAAGAAGGCATGATGTGTTTAAACCTGGAGATTGGGTTTGGGTACATTTTCGCAAGGAAAAGTTTTCCAACCGAGGAAAGATTAAGCTTGATGAATGTGGAGATGGACCATTCCAAGTCGTGGAGCACATTGATGACAACACCTACAAGATAGGCTTACCAGGTGAGTATGATGTTTCCATTACTTTCAATGTTAGTGATTTGTCTCCTTTTGACATGGTAGTGGATGAAGACAAATTGATTCTGGAACTATGAATATGGAGAGTAGATGATACGGATTCACTACCACCAACCACCTATGGAGCTCAAGGGAACAAGGACCACAACAATGGCAATCCATTAGCACTTCCTAATGGACATATTACAAGGAGTCGTGCAAAGAAGTATAGAGCAACCATGTCCTTACACATTCAAGAACAAATTACAAAAGAGCTCCATGACCTTGCTTTCAACAAGTGCTATGAAGAACTTGACCTAAGTTTGCTCACATTAATAGAAGCACATGTTGAGTTGGAACATGAATTGTTAGCACGCCCGTGCTAGATGGGCACCACCTCCAGGTCGCTGCCCTCGTCTTGGACTTTGCTAAGGAAAACAACTAAACCTTTGAAAGCACCCCCGTTGCCAAATAGCCACACCCAGGCCGTGCTTCCCGTCTGACTCTGAGCACCCCGTTGCCAAAATAGCAACACCCTGGCCGTGCTTTCCCTCTGACTCTCACGAGGGAACTCCTACATTAAGCAACAGGCCCGTGCCAATAGCACACCCAGGCCGTGCACCCAGGCCGTGCTTGTCCCTGCCTCTCATTAAGTTAGTTAGCTTATTTTGAGTTTTTGCTTTGTTAATGGGTTGGGCCTCCAATATTTCGACCCCCCATGATTAATTAGCCTTATTTTGTTTAGATTTAGTCAATCTTTAGTAGATTTGGATTAGATATCCAAATCGTTAAGTTGTTATGATTTTATTAGTCTTATCCTTAGTTGGTTTAGATTTGCTAAATCCTACTCCTTAGCTAACTCTGAATCCTTTAAGGATCTGGACCTCTTAGATTAGTATAAATAGCTTGTTATTTTGTAATTATTCAACAATTATTCAATGAATTAAAAGACTATTTCTTCATGCTTTGGCGTGGCGTGTTCTTGCTTTAGAGGGTGTGAGATTGCATTCTTCTAATTGCATCAAGAATCAAGGTAAACTTATCAATTTTTTGTGGTGTTTATCTTATTCTTTTTACTCTATTATTGGTGTTCTTGCTTCTTTAAGCTTTGGGTGCCATAGAGGGGGAGTTTATTTAGATCTTTGATCTCTTACTAATTAATTAAGTCCACTAAAAGAATTTAAACAAAAATAGGACAAATGGGTCAGAGGCCCTACACAACTCATACTTAAGCTCATAATAAAATAACATCCCCCTAAATTTGCCTAAGTATAGAATCATGTAAACTTCATCAACAGGCAACCTCTTTGCACGCCTCAAGCACCATAACAAGCTTTGGTGCTTCCTCAAGTTCTCAATCTTACATCTTGCATAACTATGATCTTGAAGCTCCAATGTGATTTGTTCTTGAGTAAATGCATTCAAGGCTGCTCGTAGCTTGGTTGCACGAGCTCTTTTGGCCCGTTAGGTAGAGCTAGGGATCCTTCACTTGCTCCCTTGACCGTATCAGTCAACAATTTACTTTTACTTTTTATTGCTTTTGTATTAAATTGTCATTCTCTTCGTCTTAAATCTGTCATTCAAGGCTGCTCGTAGCTTGGTTGCACGAGCTCTTGTGATTGGCCCGTTAGGTAGAGCTAGGGGATCCTTCATCTTGCTCCCTTGATCCGTATCAGTCAACAATTTACTTTACTTTATTGCTTTTGTATAAATGTCATTCTCTTCGTCTTAAATCTGTTCACTTGGATTGAACTTTAACAATTGGCCAATTAGTTGAACATTTAAATCAAAAATCTAGTACTCAAATCCTCTCTGGTTTCATTGATTAGTGCAATTTTCCAATTAGAGTCAATTAAAGGTTTTTCTCAATTTTACTTTAAAATTGAATTTAAGTGACAATTCTACAAAATTATTGATGGTTCTTCTCAAGTTTACTTTCTAAACACTCAATCCCCTCTAGCGAATTGTACCTGGCCCTTGGATCAAGGCCTCACAACTCGATACACCTATCATTGCCTTTTAATAAACTATTCTTAAAAGAAGCAAATAATAACCGAGTTATTCTTATTGAAAAGTTCAATGCCTCTGCAATTTTTTTTTCTAAAAAGAAAAGGTGAGTTTCGGTTAACTAGTTAGCCAATGCATATCACCTAGGGGTGGTTATTTCCCAGTTTTTGAATTTGGAACTAGTGGAAACCAAAATCGTGAGGAACCAAAATTGGTTCGAACCGAAATCGAAATCGAGGGTCTGCGGTCCGATTTCGATTCCAACTTTTGAGGAATCATGAACTAGCGGTTCCAAGAATCGGCCAGAACTGGTGGTTCCACCTGGTTTCAATAATTTTTTTTATTTTTTCAAACATTTTTTTGAAATCCTCAAATTAACCCTCCTAACAACTGTATAACGGCTAGTTTTAAGAGTATTTTGTAGAAATTTGATTTTTTGGATTTACTACAAATACCCCTTTTCATTTAAAAATAAATAAATTAAGTTCAAGCCCTTTTTCTAAAAAAAAAATAATAAGTTCAAGCCTTTTTTTTTTAATAAATAAATTAATTTAACCCTTTTTTTAATTTTTTCTTTATGTTTTTTCTAAAATTTATTTCATAAATATTTAAATTTTAAATTTTCAAAAACAAAATGTTCCCTAACTTTTGATTTTATAATGTTGGAAAATCAATCCGAAAATCGGCCGGAACTGCTAATTTGGAACAATTAAGGAACTGAAATCAAAACCGTTACAGTTTGATTTCAAACTGTACCTGAAACTGTCAATTTTCGGTTCGGTTTCAATTCTGAATTTTTTAAAATCTGAACCTGCAGTTTCGAAACCGTGGCCACTCCTAATATCACCTCTATAAGTAGTGGTAAGGAAAAGAATGTCAAATGTGTACAAGATTTCGTTATCTCAACTGTCGCCATGTAGAGGCAGGCAGGCAGGCAATTGCTACAATTGGAAACAATATATAGCCCATTAAATATCAAGCATTTCAATTGTTGCAAGAAGCACATACTGTACATCGACAAATCCATCAGATGATTAGGATCATACACAAAGAATCAACTAAAGTACCTCTTCTATTACGCAATGAAATTAATTTCAATAATTAGATTGCTGTTCTTCCCACCATTCCAATATTCCACCCTCGCTCCTTTTTTTCCCTCTGAATTCGGTTCACCTGAGTATCCTTCATTCCTGCTCTTCTACCATTGCCTAGCAGTACCCTATGCGCCATCCTCCCTCTACTTCCAATAGAGACTCTAACCTTCTCCATCCCAACATTTATACCTCCTTTTCTTAAGTGGTGCACTGGAGATTTCATTTGATTTTTCTTTTGAAGGCTTCGTCTCAATATGCTGCTTAGCGTTGTGGTTCCATGTTTTGACCCTTTAGGACTGCTGCAATGTATTTGCTCTGGCAAGCAGTTAGATTCAGACCCTCCTGCGTCTTCTTTAATATAATCGTGGCATAATGACAATGGTAATAAACCACCAGGTACACTTGGAAGTGGAATGAGCGAGGTGCGTCTCGGAGCTTGAGCCATTGGCAACCGTTGACCTATTGTACAAATTGAGGCTCTCCCAGTCCTCTTGGGTAATCGCTGTTGCTGCGCAGCCATCTCGGGATTGTTCTCTTTTTCTGTGGGATCAATAAACTTGACAATGCCATCTGCTGGAACTCTGTGGCTGTTATTTTCCATAAGCGGTTGGCTGCATTTTCCTTGTTCTTTTGCAGATTCGTTGAAATTCTTATTACTTCCTAATTGTCGATTTGCAAGAGCTGCCCTCGCTTGTTGCTCATCTTGCTGTTGTTTCATTTGTTGTTGCTGTTGCTCAGCTATCTTTGAGTCCACATGCTGACGTGCTAGCTTCCTTTCAATTAACAGTTGCGACTCCAACTCTTTCACCTGAAATAAAATATTTCACACGCGAAAGTCAAATATTTTTCAGGCAAATTGGCAATAGCATCAGGTTCCTTATGTGTTACCTTTTCTTGCAGATTCTTATTTCTAAGGTCTTTCTCTTTTATCTTCAAGTCTAATCCATGGATTGTTTCTTCCATCTTCTTCATTTGTATATCTTTGGTCTTCAAATCTTGTTTTGATTTTTCAGCCTTACAAGAATAATCAGATTTTTACACAAGCACAACTTCATACAAAATAAATAAGTTTTCATGAACAATGGAGCAATTCGAATACTTAAATTAATTGTACCATCTGTTTGTATCTCAGAAGTTCAGTAGAGTCCAGCTGCCTTTTTGCAGGACCTAACTCTATCCCTCTAACTCTACTTGCAAAGTTCAGTGAGCAAAGGGTCTCTCCCAGGTCATTCTCATTAGGACTTATCTGAACAAACATTAGCGTCTTTGAATCTCCTCCTAGTAAAATATAAATGCATTCATTAGGCTTCTTATTTCATTTTGCCCAGATAGCAATAAATAACAAAAAGAAAGAAGCAGAAAAAAAAAAGGAATTTCACCAAATCTAAAACTAGAAATAATCTTTCCCATCTTTTTGAATTGCAGACACAAATGTACCTAGGGAATCCTGAAGCAGGTGGGTGAGCTTGGAATTCCTACAAAGTGAGTACTCATTTTTAACATAGGAATGTTTCAAACTGAATGAAAATAACATGGGGTTGTTGATATGCAAATTCAGAAAAATGATATAAACTCCAGTCAGTAAATTATAACCTGAATGGGATGTGAGGGCTTTTAGTTGCAAGAGCAGAAATGACATCACCAAGTGCGGATAAGGATCTGTTTATATTTTGAGTTTCCTTAAGTCGCTCTCCTTGGACTTCTGTCTTTGCCACTCGCTCACTTCCTGCTAGATCAACCAACCATAATTTGCTTTTTGTGCATTCCCCATTCAATAAATTTTCACCTTTCACCATCACACAGTGTATGCTGTATCAATGGAGAACCACAATACCCTTTAGCACAGCTAATCAAAATATTTTGTTATTTAATATAAATAAATTTTACTCAACTTGGGATTCAAATGGGAATATGGAATTCAAATACCAATGGGATCGGCTGCTGTGCTCATTGGCATTGGTTGAGCCAACTGCCCTTTCATTACTTCCACTTTGAAGAACTTCCCAGGCCTGACTTATGTTGTTTACATGTGCTTCGACCAACCCTGGGACATGATGTAGTCCTTCACCCACTTGTCTTATTTCCAGCCTAACAAAAGTACCGAAAAATATTCAGGGTTACTTAATTTTGCAGAGTTGTCCAGTTTTCCAGTAATTTATAAAGAAACAAAAAAACTGTTAGAGAATATGCTCAAGAATCGAGCAATGGGAATATTATAATTAAAATGACGAAATCCTAGAGACATCTCATTTCAAAGGCATTTAATGTGAAGTCAAGTTTCCATTCAAAATTGCTACTTAAGTTGACAACAGAATTCAAGAAAACAGAAATAGAGCCAGATACCAGGTCTTAACTCCTAAAAGACATCTTTACAATGTTCTAGGAATAAGGAACCATAAGAAAGGAAAAATGACTAAAGAATATCAATATTACCTCTTTGCAGCTACTCCTGGCTGAGAGCCTGAACCCAGCAAATCTCGTATTTGCTCATTGTAGACTTCTAGAACACTAACAGATACATCATACCGAAATAGCTCATGGCGGTCCTTAATTATCCTAAATATCTCCTCAAGAATCCTAAAGTTTACTCCACGGGCTTCGTCTGTACCCTCCATGGTAAAGGTTTTCCCAGTTCCAGTTTGTCCATAAGCAAATATGCATACATTGTAACCATCCAATACCGAGGTTGCAAATGGCGCAGTGTCTTCAAAAACTCCAGCTAAATAACAAACAAGTTATTAGACAATATTAAAAGAAACTCTATGTATTATGAAAAATTTAATGGGTTTTCCTTCATATTTGGTAGTTATTACCTTGGTCTGCTTGAGGGCTAAACACAGCATCAAACTTGAAGGTTTTTCTAGGGAGCCCATTTGAAGTTACAGTAAGCTCACCATCTTTAGCAGACTCAAAATCAATAGCCACTGAAGCTTCCAATGCAAGTTCTTCAGCATTCAAAGGCCTACATCGACAAAAGACCTTTATATTCCCTGCGAGTAAGCATCAGAATTCAGTGACTTTAATTTCCTAATTAAGCTTCCATTTTCTAGATATCAAAGCAAAAGATAAAGCTACCTTTCAACTCTAAAACCTTGTTGTAGAGTTCCTTTCGTTCCTTGGACCCTTCCATAAATTTAATCTTGAGATCTTCATGTGAATCTTGTTGCTGCTTCACTATGATAACAGAAACAATTAATGGACAAGTCAAATGGAACCATTTAATGTTTTTATACTTGAGGATTTATTATAATTGGTAAAGTTGACCTACTTTTGGACTGAATCATAGACCCCATTTCATCCATATCCGCAAGGAATTGCCTGTATGCCAATGCCTCCTCTGATAGCCTTATGTGCTCCACTTTCATAAGCTGTAAAATGAAACTTTATAAACAATAATTGCATAATTGCATATCAATTTGATTATAAGAACATCTCTAGTCATAATTTCAGTACCTTCAACTGTCTAGCCATGTCCCTCAATGATGAGAACCACCTGCTCTTCTCTTTCACTTGTCCTTCTATGGCGAATGCTACAAACAGACAATTATTCAAGGTACAAATATTAATTTCTTGGAAGAGGTCTGAAACAAGTTTTACTGCAGGAAGAAAAAAAAAAAGGAACTTCCTTACCTAAGGACCCCACATGCATAGACTTGCGCATAAGTTCATTCTGGAGGTCCTTTAAAGATTTCCATGCGTCTTGGCATTCCCTATTCTTAAGATGGTTTTCCCTCTTGAGCTTCTCCATTGCACTCCTCATCTCAGTTAGTTCTCTTTCCTGAAACTCTGCATGTTGTAGCAGCTTCTGATAATCTCCTTTCACCTCTTGCTCCCCATTACCTGTCTATTTAACCATGAGTTCAGGGGGGACAGGAAAAGAACTGAAGTCGGTCAAAGTGTTGTTTTCTTTCCACTCATAAAGCAACAGTCATAAATAGGATTAAAAGATTGTACTTCTAGTGATTTGCATTCTACCACCTGGGAGATTTCCATTGGATTCAAGAATTGAGCTTCCCCAGCATCTGACATTCAAATTTCGAAGAAGCACTTGAGATATTCCCATTGGCAGATAATATGAACCAAGAAACGAAAAGAAACTAGAAAAACTGAACTTACAAGCACAAGAATCTTTGGTTATAGAAATGCCACATACAATTGGGCTTCCTGTTACTCCTTCAAACCTAATGGTTAAGCCCTCTTCATTGTAAACACAAGCCTTAAGTTGAGATATAACCAGAGGCTTATTTGCACCTACTTGCGCATATATGTCTAGGCAGGAAACGACCTAGAAGGTCATCAATCAACAGAAAAAGATTATGCTATCAATTAAAATTATATGAAAAGCAATTAATCCAGTTCGTCTCAAGTTTCGTTAGCTCTGACCTTCTTATCTTGCAGAAAAACATCAAACACTCTCATTCCAGGAGGCCCATTTGTGAGAACAATTTCTGCAAGAAGCAGAGTCACAGAATAGTTTCCTGGCTCTAATTCAGGAAAGTAGTATGAGAAGTTACCAAAACGTGCTGTTTGGTAAAGAGAGAGGCCAGCCTCAATTGTAGCATTAGTCCTTACAGTATCACCGCCTGAAAAATGACTGTCCTCCAAAAACTTTTCACCATTCAAAACCACATCCCCGTCAGTGGAACCTGAATTGATGCTTGCACAGGAAAGGGAATGTTGCGGTGATTTGTCTTCCGTTGACGGCTCTAGGAACAGCTCCAATGAAGATTCAGGAGACAATTCTTTGTTGAATGTTTGACAGATTGGAGAGAACTTAACAGATGGGTGTTTAAGTGTATCTTTGATAACATCTTCTAGAGAAAGCTCAAAAGAGCACTTGTGCTTGCCTCTATCAGAGAATTCAGGGGAATCTCCATATATAGTTGTGGGAATCTCGGACGAACCAGCACAAATAACCAGATCAGGAGATGTTAAAGAAAACCCAAGCACAGAACGACCTGCTAGAGTTAGAATTGAATCAAATTATTGCATATAAATGTATCTGCTAATTCAATCAAACGCATACAAAATAAAAAACAGCAGAAAGAGCAACAAGGCCATCTCGACACATGAAAAATTACAGAAAAGAAATGAAAAGTCCTCAGTTATTTCAAGAAGATATTGTAACCAAATTGCCTATCGACACCAAGATTTTGTTTCTCAACTGCAAAGAAGAAGTAAATCTAATTACAGTAAAAATGAAGTGATACACGTACGGTCTTTATCAAGATCCGGCATAGGCAAAGTTGAACAAGAGTGTGGAATATCTGCAGAGGTCCAAGTAGAGAGAGATGAGAAATTAAGGAAGCAAAAGTAGAGGAAAAGGAGAAGAGATCACTATGTAATTACGTTTAGAGGTGGTGTGGTGCTGCAAATTCCATGAAACGTCAGTGAGAAGAAGTGGGTCATGCCATTGATTTTGGTTATCTTCCATTATTACGGTGTTTGGAGCTTGAAATGTTGAATATACAAATTCGTTGAATAAAGAGAAAAAGATAATGAAAGTTTTGATTTCGTTAAGCCCAAAAAGGAAGGTAAAGCAAAACAATTCATTCGATCTGCGTTGTGCAGTGACAAAGCTGACCGTTAGAGCCTTCTTTTAAAATTTGAAATTTGTTAACCGGGCACACCTCACATTTAAAAATAAAATTGCATATATAGTTCAAGTCTCATATTATGTCATTTTATTAAATTTTAGTTTTTAAGCTTTAATTTTTATCAAAGCAACTGTCTTAATGGAACTTTTTTCTCATATCAGAATTATACACCATCTGTAAAATGAAGTTTCAATGGATCAGACCATTGGTGAAATGAATCAGAATTGTACGAAAGATCACACAACATTAGTGAAAATTTTTATAATTAAAGGTAATTAATTCATACCTAACTCTTTATATTGATAGAAAAAAGTGAGAATGTATTAAAAATTTTTAATTAAGTATATTTATTTTATTGAATTTTTTTATCAAAAAAATTAAAATAGATAATCCACTAATTTTTATTTCTTTACTTGAAAAAAAAATGCTGCCTTGTATCTTTCTATTTGAAAAAAAAAAAAAAAAGACTAATTAATTACAGAAAAATATATCAGTTCAATCACTTATTCATACAAAATAAAATAAAATTTTCTCAAAAAGAATTAAAAAAAATAAAATTAACACACTAAAATTAAACAAAATAATAATAATAACTTTATAATTATCGTAATTATACCCATGTCAAGGAAGATTACCGAAAAAGGTGTGAGGACACTTATCGGAAACTTAAAAGTTGAAGATATAACACTACCTTTCGTTATATTTCAACATCATTAAAAATATGAGGAAAAAAAATGATGCCTCCTTGTAATGATATTACAGAGTGTTTTTTACGCATATGAGATCTTAAAAGGAACTTTCATGATTGTTCCTTCTTTACATAAAGAAGCTAAGATGTGATTAAATTATATACAAACAAAATAAATAACATACAACAATTGACAAAATCACTGCAAACTCATATCATGAAGCACCTGCTGGCACTTGAAATAAATTGCATGCCAAGGGAAACCCATTTATACTTGTATATTTCCTTCCAGAGAGCTATCTTAGAGACTGATTTGATTGTGTTACCCATTGTTAGAACGCAGGACGCTTTGATAGATTCCATTCGGAAAAAGCAAATTTTACCACTTCTAGAACCACATGTTCTTCTACAAGCTAATTCCTGCTGCTTCTATTGCGGCCGCCATTGAGGCTGATGCCTCTTCTAGGGTCCGCTTCTTCTCAACAGTGTTGAAGGCCTCGATAATATCTCCTTCTTCCCAATCATCATAGTCTTCCGTCCCAATACCACACTCTAGCCCAGCATTTACCTGCCACAAAATTATGTTTCTTTTCATGATAAAATAAATAGCAATGGCTATATTGCAACTAGGTTCATAGTTCACTGCCTTATTTCGTCACCAGTTCTAGAGTAATGGTAAGCAAAAGAGTCATTTTTTGTTCATTTTATTATTAGATACATTTTTTAGGTTAAGCAGCTAAACAGACACAAAATGTCCTGCACCTCAACTGATTAGATCCCCATCCTCTTATAAGCCTTTGTTATAGTCTGTATTTCCAATGTGAGACTCTTTTGCCAACAAAGATTCATGCACTGAAAAGATTCCTATGACGTAGTCATCACCTTTCCATAATGACAAAAGACTGCAGAAAAACAAGTGTAGATATTTCATGATCATCTATCTAATGTAATAGTTCAAAACAACTACCACACTTTGGGAAATACATCCTCTCATATGCCTTAATATAGAATTCTCTGCCATCTAGCCATTTTCATGCGAGGAAAACATTGACATCCAAACTGGAAAATAGGTCAAGGAGGACATGACACAGACACCAAGAGCATTTACATGTACTGCTAGCAAATACTGAACCACTGAACTATAAATTGGACATGCAATAGCTTATAAGTCATACCTCCTTCACAATTTCCTTCACTCGTCTCAATGAATCAAGAACACCAACATAGACTGTCTTTCTATTTCGAACAACCTTAATGCCACAGCCTTTTACTACTTTCCCATCCATTACCATGCATCCAGCAACACGACCACTGCCACTGCTAAAAACAGCCCGGACTTCTGCTGAGCCAATTGTTTCTTGTTCCTATCAATAGACATGCAACTCTCGAGTGTAAGTCTTTAGCTATAGAAAATCACAAATCAAAGCAAAAGTAGCACGTGCCTGCTAGCCGAGAAGACTCATGGTTCTAAATCCATATTAACAACAGTGATTACAAATGGGACAATGAATTCAATGAAAATAACTATTAAAAAAAAATCGCTTAGGCAATACCAGTGAAAGAACAGTGCAAAGCTTCTAGCATTGGGTTTATATTATTTGAACCAGTCATATCCAAGCTACCATGGAACAATCTTACCATTGTAACGAGACACACCTCAACCCACAATCAAGAGAGAGAAAATGAGAGAGAGAGAGAGAGAGATTAGCATTGGATATATAAAACTCATTGTCACTTCATTTAATCAAGATATTTGTGAGAAATGCTGTACACCAGTAAAAAAGCATGAAATATCAGCATCGCTATTCTGTGACATGCTGAACAAGGGCATTGTGGGGAAGAAAAACAAATGGCAGCAAATTCACTCTTAAAGTTTTTACTAAGATGTCAGCAAATAGGTAGTCTTAACAAACAGCACAAAGTGAACAACCAAAATTTCAAACTGGACAAGGTCAGGTACATGGATCCTATTCTTTCATTTCATTCTTTTTTTTTTTTTTGGTGTAAACCACCGGTATCCGGACCCTATTGCCAAGGACCGCTTAATCCGGTTCCGAGTTTAGTCACAGTTCATTCCTTTTACTGCCAACACTTTGTGAATTATCTTCCAACATTTATAAATTAACTAAATGGACAAATTATGAATGTTCCCCAAAATTAGAGAACAGTTATAGTTTTGACCTCCCCCATCCTTGGAAAAGGTTATGCTCCTACTGATGCTCCATCTTATATCTTTACCTATGTTAATAATCCATAGAATTAAAGTGGGCCATGGACGTCAAAAGGTAAGGTTTCACTAATTTAGTCAGGAAAAGAAAAAAAATGAAATTCAAGTCTCTTTTCAATTCATAATTCTATTATTTAAGTTCTCCTACTAAAAGTACTAGAAATTGGGTTCATTACGTTCATGTTTGATGGGAAAATTATGTTGTCAGTTCACTAACTCCTTTCTTTTTAAGTTGAATCCTACCCTCATTTTCTTAAACCCTTACACAGGAAAATTAGTCAAATTTTCAAATTAAAAACATATATAATAAACAAATAAGTATGGAAAACATCAAAAAAAAAAAATTTAATTGATGAATTAGCAGTAGGATTGATTTGTTACATAATGAAAGTGCCAAATTAACAGAATGATGACAAAAGGCATGGACAAAAAATAGATGAACATCAATAATTACACGGCCGAATACATAAATTTGCCCCTGAACTTTGTCACTTTAACCCTCTGACACCTTTAATTTTTACTTTGATTCATCAAACACTTGAACTTATAAAATTACACCTATTAAACATTTCAATTCTCAAATTTATTTTATTAAACACTTCAACTTGCAAGATTAGATCAATTAAAAACTCATTAAAAAGTTAAAATTTATGAAAGTTATTGTTCTAAAAGTCATATTGACTACATATCAAGTTAATATTTTGCAGATAAGAGCTAAAAATCCTAAAAAGTATTAATAATAGTGTCGAAAAGTGTATAATATTACCAAAATTTACAAGTTCAAGTGCACGATAGGTCATCCTCAAAGTTCCGGGTGCCACAAAATTAAAGTTGCAAAGTTCAAGGATGAATTTATGCATTCAGCCATAATTACACTGATATTATGGAGGACAGCTCAACAAGCAGGCATTCACATAATCAACTCCAAGAAAGTCAAACCAAAGTTTTGTAAAGTTATGTTCAATAGTATTAAAAACACATGAGAAATAGAGTATGTAAATATTACAGAAAAACTCAATCTATCAAATATTCAACATCCTCTTCTCCCCTTAAAAACCATTGTTGAAATCTTTGTGATTAAAGTAAATATTGTGTTTCCTAGTTTAGGTTTATTCCTAATTAGTGTAAAGATTGTGTTTCCTAGTTTAGGTTTAACACATGAGAAATAGAGGTATGTAAATATTAGCAGACAAAAAACTCGAATCTATCAATATTCAAACATCCTGGTTTTCTCCCCTTAAAAACCATTGTTGAAATCTTTGTGATTAAAAGTAAATATTGTGTTTCCCTAGTAGGGTTTAGGTTTATTCCTAATTAGTGTAAAGATTGTGTTTCCTAGTTTAGGTTTATTCCTATTTAGATTACTTCCTATATTGGAACAATTTTTTGTATATCAATAGTGGAGTAGAGGTTGAAAAAGATAACACAATTGAAAGAAATAAAAAAAAAAAATTTCCTTTAATTTCTACATGGTATCAGAGCCATTGCCATGAATTTTTCGGCAACGATTTCAGTTTGCAAAGTGGTTTGAGATACACACAGCACCGCCGAAAGTGGGAGTTGGTCGTCACTGCCCGTCTCAGAAGGAAGAACGACCGCCGATCGGCACTCGGTCCAAACCGCGTCGCCGTCCGACCATGCACGTGTGCACACGCGCCTCCAGAAGATTCTAACTGTTCTTCACGCGCCAGCGCGTGCAGCTGTTTCCGGCGAGCTCCGTCGACAATTCTTGTTCCAGCGACCTCGACTCAGTGTGGCGACTCAGACCTACTGGTTCTTTAGCATCAGTTTTGCCTTCTTGAAATTTTTTCCCTTTCCACCACTGCTGTTGCCTTTTACCGCTGTTGCCTTTTTACTGCTGCTGCCTTTTTACCACTGCTGCCGTTTAAATTTTTTTTTGAAGATATGGTTGACGGAAAGAAGGTAGATATGGTTTTTCACTCAGAGAGCCCCTCACTTCAGATTAGTCCGGTGAAGTTATATGAAACAAACTACCTGGCTTGGTCTCGGTCTTGTTTATTATTCATTGAAGCTAGAGGTTTGCAGGGATACCTTGATGGTGGAGCAACTAAACCAAATGCGACAGATCCGGCCTTTAACAAATGGAAATCCGAGAATTCTCTTATTATGTCTTGGTTAATAAATTCCATGCAGCCAACTATTTCCCGAGGATATTTGCTTCTTATTTGCTTCTTGATACAACTAAGAAGATCATGGGATGATGCTCACAGGACGTATCACAAATTTGAAAATTATGCTCAGAGGCATTTGAATTTTGCAACAGAAAGTTCATGAACCCAAGCAGGAGGATCTGAACTATCGTCAGTATTTTGTTTGAACTTAGTGGGTTACTGGCGTGGCAGGAACTGGATTATTATCAAGACTTTCAAGCAAGATGTACTGATGATGCGACTCAAGTTCAGAAGTTGATTGAAGTAGAACGTGTGTGTGATTTTCTCGCTGGCCTAAATAATGAGTATGATCAGATTCGAGTCCAAGTTCTTGGACGAGATCCTTTTCCATCCTTACGACAAGCATACTCATTTGTATAGCAAGAGGAGACTAGGAGGAACGCTACGGTTCACAGATCTACCATTGACAAAGCAAGGTTGATTGCTAATTCTGCAAGAGAACATATCCAGGCTACAAAGAGCAGTTCTTCAGATAGAGATGCGGTAAGAACAGGCACACTAAGGAGTTCTGCTGGAAATTACATGGATGCCCAACTAAAGGGCGTGGAGGAAAGCGGGTCAGTTCTTCTAGACCACATCGATCCCAACTTATAAGATCGTACAGGACGTAAAACGCTTGTTCTGAAGTTCTAGTGCTCTGGAGACACCTCATTAGCTACAACCATTACTACTGCGCGAGTGGGATCTTTATCTGAGGGAATACCATCTCATCTTGCTGAAAGCTAAGTTTCTTCGCATATAGGAATCTCCAAGTCCTTGACGATTGTGTACACAACTTTAGAGTTCGTCTCAACCTCGACACAACGTCTATTTTGTTAATTCAGGGTAATGGTCTTTCACTTACCTTTTTCTTGAAAAACTTGCAACAACCACTCTTGAGGTATATAGATTCAGACAGCAAATAAGTAAACAGGCTCATATAAAATATTTTTCCACACTATTCTAACTATCAAGGCAAGAAGAAAATTCGTATGCGGATGGCTCCTTTAAGTACCAATTGACCAATTGCTGGCACAGGTTCTATTGACTGTACTTCCAATATTAAACTCTCCCCTGTTCTTCATGTTCCTAGATTTCCTATTAATCTGTTATCTGTTAGCATAATCACAAAAGCACTTACTTGCAAAGTAACTTTTTACCCTACTCATTGTATATTTTAGGAACTGGACACAGGGAGAACGATTGGCAGTAGTAGCTTGCGGGATGGACTGTATCTGTTGGATGACGTTTGTTGTTTTTCAAATTCGAGTACCAGTCAAGTTTTGTTAGGAACTTCTAGAAATCCTTCCCATGAAGTTATTCAATGGCATAGGAGATTAGGACATCCCTCTTTCTGTTTTAGGACGTTTATTCCCCACTTTATTTGCTAAATGTGATTTTAATTCATTAGTATGTAATGCTTGTGAACTTGCCAAACACACCAGGCATTCTTATTCTCCAATTAATAATAAGAATTTAATTCTCTTTTTACTACTATTCATTCTGATGTTTGGGTCCTACTAAACTGTCTCTACTTTCTGGTCTATAGATGGTTTGTTGACCCTCTATTGATTGTTGCACTAGATTGACTTTTTTATTTGAATGAAAACATAAAATTGAAGTTTTTTCGTGTTTTTAGAACTTCCATTAAAATGATTTGTTACTCAGTTTGATGCGCTATGTTAAAAATCCTAAAAAACTGATAATGGTACTGCATACTGAATGATTTTTTCGTACCTATTTACGATTCTAATTATTATACATCAAATAGTCTGTGTCAATACTAGTGCTCAAAATGGGTAGTTAGCGGAAAGGAAAAATAGGCATTTACTAGATAGTAGGGTCCTTATGTTCACTTATGATTTCTCAAACTCATTTGGGGGGATGCTTATTTTGCCAGATGCTTACCTTATCAATCGTATGCCTCTTCGTACTTTTACAATTTAAAACATCCATTATGTTCTTCAAAGGAAAACTCTTATATCTGTACCTCCTAAGTCTTTGTATGTGTTTGCTTGATTCATAGAAATGGTCTAAGCAAATAGATCTAGAGCCTTTGAAGTGTGTGTTTGTTGGTTACTCTCTAACTTCAAGGATACAAGTGTTATCAATTCCTTCTCTGGATTTATTTCGCGGAAGTAATGGATGTTACCTTTTCTGGGAGTTTGAATCTTTATTTTCTTTCCCAGTCACCTCTTCAGGGGAGAAATATAGATGGAAGAGGTGATGGATGAATTTCTTTCAGGGGAGATTCTGCTAACAGCAAAGTAAGAGAGAGCAACCACCCAAATTCTCTAGAGATGATAGACCATTGAATATTTGAAAACCTATACACGGCGGACTAATACAAGATACAACCATGGAGCATGGATACCTTCTGATATCAACCGTTCCTCTCCAATTTCAATCCCATGAAGTATACAGAAGAACAAGAAACTTGCTGACTTGGTGAGTCTTCTTTAATTCCTGTTGATTCTGATCCTAATCTTGATTTCAGTCCTTCTGACAATGACCTTGATATTCCTATTGCTTTTAGAAAATGAGTTAAAACATGCACTAAACATCTCATCTCTCATTTTATCTCCTATAATGATCTGTCCCCTTTCTATAGAGCTTTTGTATTGTCTGTTTCTTCTGTTTCTATACCACAGGATTGGCAAGAGGCATTACGAGACTCAAAATGGAAGGCTGCAATGGTTGAGGAGATGAGAGATTTGGCAAAAAATGAGAAATAGGATCTTGTAACTCCTCCACCAGGAAAGAAGCTTGTTGGATGTAAATGGGTGTTTACAGTTAAAAATAGGGTAGATGGTTCAATTAAGAGGTACAAGGCTAGATTGGTAGCAAGAGGATTTAGTCAGACCTATGGAGTTGATTATTAGGAAACATTTGCCCATGTAGCCAAGATGAACACAATTAGAATTTTGTTGTCTTGTGCAGTCAATCTTGACTGGGAGTTACATCAATTTGATGTTAAAAATGCTTTTCTACATGGAAGAAAAGTTGTATATGGAGATCTCTGTTTGATGATGACAAAAACCAAAGAAAGTTTGCAAGCCTTGAAGAAGTCATTATATGGGCTGAAACAATCCAAGGAGCATGGGTTGAATGGTTTAGTAAAAGCTAATGCTTTATTAGTATTCAGAGCGACATTTGATCATACGTTATTCATTTAAACATCTCTTGAAGGTAAAGATCACTTGCTTATTGTTTTATGTTGATGATATAGTGATGATGGAAATATGAAGAGAAATGTGACTTCACTGAGAAATGTTAGTAGGAGTGAAGAGTTAAGATTAGAAAGTTGAGATATTTCCTTGGGATAGAATTGGCCTAGGTCGAAAAAGGGATTTTTATTTCTTCAAGGAAAGTACATCACTTTCTCTTTAAAGGAAACTGGTATGTTGGGATGTAAAAGTGGCGGAATTCACTATTAAAGCCAATTCATTAAGCTTCAAGCTGGAGTGGGAATCAGTTTGATTGTTCGCAGGCGGTATCAGCGATTGGGTCGTTGACGTTTGATTTACCCTTGCCATACTAGACCAATATTGCCTATGCTGTAATTTAAGTGAGTTCAGTACCATTGCAGACCCTCCGGGTAGTCTCACTTAAAGCAGTGCATCGGATTCTTGATATTTAAAATCAGCTCCAGGACTTTTATTTTCTAAACATGGCCATTTAGCAATAACAGGCTATACAAATGCGGATTGGGCTGGTTCCCTTGATGATAGGAGATCAACCTCAGATTATTGTGTTTTTGTTGGAGGAAACCTGGTCACATGGAGAAGCAAGAAGCAGGCTGTTGTTGCAAGGTCCAGTGCAGAAGCTCAATATAGAGCTATGGCACAGGGAATCTGTGAACTTCTATGGTTGAGCAGATTAATGGAAGAGTTAAAGTTGGTTGAAACAAAAAATATATCCTTATTTTGTAATAGTAAAGCAGCCATCTATATTATGAACAATCCAGTCCAGCATGATCGAACTAAGTGTATAGAGATTGATCGTCACTTTATAAAAAAGAAGATAGTTGAAGGTTTTATAAGTGTCTCCTATATAGTTTCAAAAGAGCAACTAGCTGATGTTTCACAAAAGGTTTGCATAGCAAGTTGTGTCATCCTTTAGTTTGCAAGTTGGAGATGAGTAATATCTGTGCACCAACTTGAGAGGGAGTGTTGAAATCTTTATGATTAAAGTAAATATTGTATTTCCTAGTTTAGGTTTATTCCTAATTAGTGTAAAGATTGTGTTTCCTAGTTTAGGTTTTTTAGGTTTATTCCAAATGTTAGTTGTACAAGATTTGTTTCCTAGTTAGGTTTTTATTCCTATTTAGATTAGCTTCCTATATTGGAACAATTTTTTGATATATATATAGTGGAGAGTAGAGCCGGTTGAAAAGATAACAACAATTGAAAGAAATAAAACAATTCTTTCCTTTAAACAATTTTTTGTATATATATAGTGGAGTAGAGGTTGAAAAAGATAACACAATTGAAAGAAATAAAACATATTCTTTCCTTTAATTTCTACAACCATCCAATGCAAAACTTCTCACAGCGAAAAAACACAACTTTGAACAAATTTTCATGCAGCAAAGGTAAAGTAAATGACACCTATCCACATGATAAAACAAGATATTCACAAATTCCAATTAAAATTTTATAAACCATAACCAAGAATTGTGAAAAGAGATGATGTAGAAATAATGCTCTGGTATTTACCTTGACAGGCTGCAGAAGTCCTTCCATTGCATTTCGTACATCATCAATGAGATCATAGATGACTCTATACAGCCGAATCTCTACACCTTTGTTTTCTGCATAGCTCTTTACAGAACCTGGTGCTTTGACATTAAATCCTAAAATAATAGCTTCACTAGCAATGGCAAGATCAACATCACTTGTGCTTACATCCCCCGTTGCTTGCAAGAGGAACTTCAGGGTGACATTCTCTTGAGGGAGCACCTGTAAAGCTTGTCTAACTGCTTCAATAGATCCCTGGTCATAATCAGAAAAATTTTTAGTTTCCTTGAAGACAATGTCCAACCCTCATTCATGATCACAGTAAAAATTTAATAATACTTCAGGCTCAACGCAATGAAAAAAAAATTTAAGGCATGTGTAGACCATACACATGAAAGTGCATAGAGTATCGTTTGAAGGAAGAATTGTCGCACTTCTATTGAAACATTTCATTTGCTTTCGAATAGCTATTATAGATTGCAAAATATTTCCATGCATGGGTTAAAACAGTTTCTCAGTTAACCTCAAAACCAATTATTTGTGATTCAACCACTTACCTTTAGTTATTTCCACCCAAAAAAAAAAGAGAAACTTTTACTTTGCCAACCTGGCAATAAAAGTTTTAAAAAGCCAAATTGAATTGAGACAGAAAAATAAATAAACCATATTAAAAATTAGTTTTCAGTCATCTTTATAAAAGATTTGGATAAAATTGGATAAAAATACCTGACAAAATCAGATTTTAATCTTTAAACAGGGCATTTAACTTACAGTACCTATTCTACTTATAACATCATTGTTTTTAAAGGCCTAATAGACAATTCTACCCCAAAATTCACAAATTCAGAGTGTTTTTGCAATTGTACCATAAATTTATTTTTCTTGGCAATTTTCAGGGAGCTGGTTTACTTGGGGTAGTTTTATTTAGTAGTCTATTTTTCTATTTCCCCTATGTAGACAACAATAGGCTAATCAGTTTCTTAGTTTGTGGATGGTTGTTAAACAAGTTCTTTATTAGTGGGTAATTATTTTAATGGGTAGTTGTTAGGCTTTATCTTCACTCTGTTGTAAAATGCTGTGGATTAATGAATAATTAAGCAGAATTTAACAAAGGATTTGAGTTCCTAAAACTCAAAGATAATATGGTTCTCTCAACAAGCTCTAAGAGATCATTAGGTTCTCTCTTAATTAGCCTACCATAATTCTATTTTTTTTGCTCAATCAAATGGAACCATACCTAGACCATAAACTCGGGACTGTACAAGCAATTCTCCACTAATTTCAAAATTTAGTTGTAATTATAGTATGGGTTAAAATTTTAAAATATAATAATATTGTTTTATTACTATCTAAGATGGTGTTTAATAACAGCATACAGCACGTGAAATAATTAGATTTAAGTTGTTTGATAATGATAATCTACATATCACCTAAAATTCTCAATCCAGCAAAAACATACTTGAAATGGTAAATCAGAAATTTTAACCCAAAATTCATACTCAATGCAAAAGTGAATGGCTTTTAGACAACTTCACCATTTAAAATTTTCAGCACTTGAATTATTTAGATCTTCAAATTCAACTCTTACCCTTTGGTTGGATGGGAGTTTTTTTTTTTTTTTTTTTTTTTTTTTTAACTCTACCCTTTTGTTGGATGGGCAGTTTTTTTTTATTTTTTTTTTTTTTTTTTTTTTTTTTTTTTTTTTTTTAAGGAAAATAACTATGGAAAATATCTAGGAAAAGGTATTTTTCCCTTGTTTGGAAATGGGAGGAAAATATTGAAAGTAATATTTCACTTATGTTCCACCAAGGCCCACACATTTTGAATCTCTCCAATTTGAAGAGAAAATAATATAGGAAAGTTGAAATTTTACTCATTTTTATTAAATTACCGAAATGGCCCAATTAATTAACAAATTTTAACCCTTTCTTAAATGCTCCATTATTTAAATGAGGACATAATTGTCAATTTTCAATAATAATATTTTCTTTCCTCTATGATTTTACCATTTCCAAATGAAGGAAAATAATATTTTCTTTCCTTCATTAAATCCAAACATAGGAGTCGAAAATAATTATGGAAAGAAAATTGATAATCCCTCATTATTTTTCTATTATTTTTCTTCCTCTAATATTTTCCATCCTCTCCTTTCCAAACAAAGAGTTAAACTTTTAGCAATTAATTTTCAATTTTACCAAACAGCATCTAAATTAAAAGGAATTTTCTAACTTTTTTTTCACATTTGCCACTTCATTTTATTTTCTCTCTACTTCCTACACATCCTACAATATCTTTTCTCTCTCTCTCTCTCTCATCCATGGCTTTCCTTTCACACTGTAATCTCTATATATAAACAAAAAAGAAGAATGAAAACGAGAGAGTGAAGATTGAAAAGAGACCGAGAAAAAGAAACAAAAACAAGAATGAAAAAGAGAAAGTGAAGATTGAAAGGAGACCAAGAAAAAAGAACAAAAAAGGAAAAAAATGATGGTAAAAAGGAAAACAAGTAGAAGTAGAACTAGAAGAAGAAGAAAAAGGAGACAAAAAGTGAAGATTGCAAGGGAAACCATAAGAAGCAGGAGAGAGAGAGAGAGAGAGAGAGAGAGAGAGAGAGAGAGTAAAGTTGGAGATTAGAGTAGGAAATGAAGCCATGGGTAAGAGGGAAGAGAAAATAGATAACATATGACAAATGGGATGAAGAGAGGGAAAAAAAAACATTTTGGTCTAGGAAGTGAAAGAAATATATTTTCTTTGGTTTAGATTAATACCAAACTATTATTAAAAGCTTGTTACTTTTTCTAGTTTTGACATATAGTACATAATTGCAATTACATTTTCTTTTTCTTTCTTTTTTTTTTTTTTTTTTTTTTTTTTTTAGTACATAAATTGCCAATACATTTTTCTTTTTCATTCTTTTTTTTTTTTTTTTTTTTTTTTTGAAAAGGATTGCAAATTAGGGATAGAAAGAATTGCCAAAAAAAAAGGTAAAAATTAGAGGACAGTTATTTTTTTTTTTTTTTTTTTTTTTTTTTTTTTTTTTTTTTTTGAAAAGGATTGCAAATTAGGGTAGAATTGCCAAAAAAAAGGTAAAAATAGAGGACAGTTATAAAAACACATTAAGTTTGGGGTAAAAATGACTATTAGGCCTTCTTTTTTCTTCTTTTTTCTTTTTGACAAATCATACAGTCTCACCAGACTATGATGGACGAGGTTAGATTCATTTTTTTTTCTTTTCAATAGCTAGATCTAACCTGATTAGGGGTCTTCTCTTTGCCAATAAAAAGGGGCCTATAGTAGTTGAACTAGATGGGAGAAACTATAATGTTTACACTTTGCACCAAAGTCAACAATACGATTGCACTGTTACGACCTAACATTCATGCTTCCAACTTCAAAACATGGAATTATTCTCCTTACAATGCAAAGATAAGGATGTATATCTGAATCCTGCCAAAATCCGCCATCTGAGTACTCTAATGTGGTGGTATACCCTTTTCCCAGGCAACTTTGCTGGTTATTCTTTTCCTAGCTATCCAATGAGCAAATCAGTATGTTTGCTGACCTATTAATCTTTTCATGCTTTCCTTAATAAATGCTCTTGATCTAATGTTTGTTTGAGATGGGCAAGCCATCTCTCCGAACATATACAACTCAAACTTAAAACACGATAAACATGACTCTTGTTTGGTGTTATTAGAAATATGTGCCACAAATATGCATACCTGAACATCAACTTTCAGTATAATATTCAGTTGGTGCAAGTCTAATCCAGACAGCTTTCCTGATGAAACAGCCGAAGCTAAGGAAGAAAGTGTAACCTTCCCATCCCCCGCCTTTGCTGATATACGCTCATTCCGCAATAATTCAGCACGTGTTTCTGCCTTTTCACGAGCAATGTCAAGGGATGCAACAACCTCAAATTCATCACCAGCAATTGGCACATTACTCAATCCAATAACCTGTAGAAAGAATGCAAGAAAATGAAAGGAAATTAAGAAGAGTCATGCGTGTCAGCATATTGCTTGAGATCTATGGAGACAATTTTAATAAAAGGCATGTGGCCCCCATGCCTTTCAATTTCTAATTTAAACATATTTTGCATGCTACTGAACCAAGACCTTACTAGAGACATTTAACTTGGTATAATAAATCATATTATCAAATTCAAAGAAAAAATTTTAGAAAATATAAAAATTACAGCTAGTTAAATTACTAAACAATGAAGTAGTGGCAGATTTATTGAAAAAATCAGTGGTTATATTTGATGCTCGAGCATAATGGAATCAAAATAAAAACAAAAAAGGTGGTTGTCATAATATTAGCAAAGCATATACATGATCCAGAATTTATTAATAGTCTTAAACTTTTTCCAGAGAGGGATTATTTTTTAGGAAAAAAAAATGAGTATTAACTACAATGTCTGGTTATTTCAGTAAGGCAAGATAAGCCTTAACAATGTTTGATTATCCACAAATCATTAAATCTTAGTGAAAACATTGTCCTACAACGAGCTACTAACCAAAAATAAGTCAAAGATGACACAGCAGGTATGAGAGTAAAGAAACAAACAAACCTGTACAGGAATAGATGGTCCAGCTTCTTCAACTCGGTTGCCACCATCATCAAATAAAGCACGCACCTGACAATGGACAGAAATTCTATCATGTAGGTTGACTTTTCAAATTAAGCATTTAGATCATATAAACCTGTAAAATTTTATTTAAAGTACGTATCCAGAGTGTCAAGCTCCAAATAACCAACCTTTCCAAAGGCTTCTCCACAAACCACTACATCACCTCTTTTAAGTGTGCCGTTCTGTACAATGAACGTAGCGACTGGTCCTTTAGATTTATCAAGACCTGCCTCAATAACAGTACCCTTGGCATTTCTATGAGGATTAGCCTTCAATTCTTGTAACTGAAACAACCATGCAGGTAATCAGAACACAAATATGATGGATCACTACTAAGCAGGACAGGAATATGCACCTTCTAAATTGGGGGGAGGACAGATGGTGGGGTTGAAGTCATAAAAAGATTGATTCCAGAACTGACTAAAGAGTATTTATGATGTATCAATTCAAATAACAAGTAACAACTCAGAAGAATTTGTCAAGGGAGCACAAAAATAACCCAAAGTTCAGTTCACCGTCATGTTAGCAACAGTATCAGCCAAACGAATTACTTTCCTTATACATGCCACATGTATAATACATGCTACATGCTACATAGCCTAATCCTTTTCAAACTTTTGAAACTTCCGGAAATTACAACTTAGTTGTACTGCATTTATAGGCATTGTTGCAGGTACCTATAGGAAGTCTCAGTTGAGACTCCACGTTATATCTATTTACATGCATATATTTTCTTAATATCTTTTTGCTACTCTACTTATTAAAATTTCAATTTACCCCAAAAAAAAAAAAAAAAAAAAAAAAAAAAAAAATTTCAATTTACCCCAAAAAAAAAAAAAAAAAAAAAAAAAAAAAAAGAGAGGAAATAAGGCTACAGTTTATATTCAAAAGACATTCCAATACAGACAGTTTTATATTCAAAAGCAATTACAAAGATACATATAAAAAAAAAAAAAAAAAAAAAAAAAAAAAGAGAGAAATAAGGTACAGTTTATATTCAAAAGACATTCCAAATACAGACAGTTTTATATTCAAAAGCAATTACAAGATACATATTGTCCTGCCATTAGATCTACAGGCAACTATTAGCTACACTGTTCCGCTGAGAGAGAAATCTAAGAATCCAAACGTCAACCAAACAAGAAGCATAATAGAATTAGTTGAACATAGCTAGAAGAATACCAAAACCAACTAGCTGGCACCCAAAAAAAAAAAAATGTCACTTACCTCAGCGACCAGCATAACAGTTTCTAACAAATCATCTACATTTTCCCCCCTGAGAGCACTGATCTGTTAAAATGAGATAGTTGAATATAAGCATCAACAGAATAAATATAAAGCACGAAAGAAAGATGAAATAGAATGGGTCTAAAAGTACCTGAACCATTGGGATATCACCACCCCAATCTTCTGGCATTAGACCAATTGAAGCAAGGTCTTGCATGACTTTTTGTGGATTAGCTCCATCTTTATCGATCTAGTTGCATTAAAAAAGATTTTTAAAAAAAAGAAAAAGAAAAGCCCCATTTTCATACATCATGTCCATTTAGAATCATTATGTCCTTGTGCGAGTACTAAGTAAACCATATACATTTTAAAGGGAAGCTCCATTTTGATAAGAAACAGAAGATACCTTATTTATAGCAATTACGATTGGAACTCCAGCTGCTTTGGCATGAGCTATTGCCTCATTTGTCTGAGGACGAATCCCATCATCAGCAGCCACCACAATAACAGCAATATCTGTCACCCTTGCTCCACGAGCTCTCATTGCTCCAAATGCCTACAGGAGCGGATAATATAGATATCATCTATAGGCAAGAAAGTATAAACACATTATAAATCACAATTGAGTTGATAAAAACACATTAGAAGAAGTCATCAGTTAGATAAAAAAATAAATAATGCATACCAGAAATGCTCTAACAAGTCTTTACCGATTTTTGCAAAGAAGAATTACAATTATCAGTTTACCTCATGCCCAGGAGTATCAAGGATAACACAAGGTTGCAACTTGCCATCGACAGGTATCAGAACTTTATATGCTCCAATCCCTTGTGTAATCCCACCAGCTTCTTTGGCAGCCACCTGTAAGCATCCAAGTATCAGAATTCAGGTAAATTATGTGTATGCCATGCTAGAATCTACTGGACTTCATTCCGTAACACTCCATAAAAGTTTTTTGCAATAGGAAAGGTTGACTACTAGATAAGTCACTAATTAAACTTCCATAAGACCTCAAATTCTAAACACATCAAGATGATACAGATTCCACATACCTTGCTTTTACGAATGTAATCCAATAGGGTTGTCTGCCATGTAAATAAAACACCAAAAATGGTATTAGCATAGAGAGAGAGAGAGAGAGAGACTGACAGACAGAAAAATAGGGAGGAAGAAAAGATAGGGAACGCAAATTCTACACCTTGCCATGATCCACATGCCCCATTATAGTAAGGACAGGAGGCCTTTCTTCCAGTTTGTCCAGATCTTCTTCATCAAAAATTTCCCTTTTCCTTGCCATTTCTTCAAATCTAACAGGATCAGCATCCATGACTTCCACATCATACTCCTTACATATCATCTTCACCATGTCCTTGTCCACAGTTTGCACCCCATCAGGTCTAATCCCCTTCGAGTACAGATAACCAAGAATTTCACCTTCACTCGTTGCCAAGTTGTAGGCTAACTCCTCAATCAACATACCCTTTTCCCCAACTTCTAAAATTTCTACTTTGACAGGAGCTGCCTCTTTGGCAGCCTGGATTCTTGCAGCCTTACGACTAGCTTTACTCCATTTTCTCCCTTTCCTTGCAGTAGCTGCACCCGGAATAGAGACATTCAACTCTGATGTTTCCTCATCAGGAATTTCAACATCATCATCATCAACAATTCGTCTCCTTGGTCCTCCTGGTGAAACACTTCTCTTTTTGTCTTTGAACTTCCCCAGAGCAGGGCCCTTTACCGGTTTTGTGGGTGCTAAAACTGCCTGAGCAATTAGAGGATCAACAACTGGTTTTTTACGGGCAAATTTGTCAATCAAAATAGGCTGCCTTGCATTATTTTTTGTAGCACCTAAGTCAGCTTCATCAGCAACAGGTGGCTTTGGAGCTGCCCCTAGATCCTTCAAGATAACAGGTTTTTTCATCATAGGAGGAGGAGCTACAGATGGCCTTGCTTGCAACTTGGGTTGAGGTCTGAAGGGTGGCTGCAGGGGTCTTAAAGGAACATCAGGTTGAGAATTTACCTTTTTCTCTTCCCTTGTTATGGATTCTTCTTTCAGGAGCTTATTATCAGTCTTAGGAGCATCCTTAACAACTTTTTGGACAAAGGCTACACTGTCCCCTTTCCGCCACACACTCTTCAAAGTTTTAGTTTTGCGAGTAGGCGGCGAAGTCTCAGATTTAGCAACTCTTGAATTAGTGGGCATGTTAGATGGTGAGATTTTATCCATATATCCATTTTCTTTCCTACTAGTGGGCTTAGAAGTTTCAAGCTTTTCAGCCTTGTCCAAAACCTCGCCAAGAGACTCAATCACCTTATTCCTCTCTCTTTCATCATCAGAATCCCTAGAAGAAGTGTCCAACTCAACAGAGCTCATATCCAAAAGGGATTCACCTTTAGACCCCAATGGAGATTTTAAGACAGGCTTAGGAGCAGGCTTAAGTAGGATTTCGTTATCAACATCACCACCACTAGAGCTTCCTCCTTTAAATGAATTACTATTTCTATTAGAATTAAGGCCTTGGTCAGCAATGAAATCTGTGGTAGTGACTGAATATTTACAAACACAATGCCATGTCTTGGCACTCCTAAGAGTTCGTTTTGATAGAGAAACTCTCCGACCAAGACTGCCTTTTGATAAAGAAACTCTACGAACAAGTGAAATTGATGAAGAATAAGACTCTGAACACGAACTAGATGAGACTGCCGCCACACTCTGGCTTCCTAGGCTAATCAAGGAAGCCAGAGACGGCATGCTTCCAACAAGAACCACCATAGAACCCATCGAAATCAAGCAAGCTCTCTCTCTATCTATCTATCTATCTATTCAATCTAAAATCTATCAACAGAGCGAAAATTGACAAAAACCCTCTCCAAAATTCATGTCACTGAATTGTTAGAATTCGAGATATCAATTGAAACTAGCAAATGAAGGACTACTAATACTAACAGCAGTTACCTGATTACCTCTCTTCTCAGACTGTCCGATTATTAGATATGGGAATAGTGTTAGAGAGAGAAGAAGGAAGCAAGAAAGGTCTTGTGGACGGAGCAGAGTTGGACATTTATTTAGACAGAACTCAAAAAACTGTTATTTGTGTGGCTCTTCTCTGCCTGTCAAATTTTTCCATGCGATAAGGCTTCCATGGTTTCCTTTTCGTGGATTTCTTTTCCATTTTTTTATTTTTTTCTTGACATTTGTTTTTAGGAACAAATTTAAAATAATCGATTGGTTTCCTTCTCATTTTTTTATTGTTAGTTTATTTTTTATTATCCGTCTATATCCCTATTATGTATAATCATTAAAAAAAATTATATATGAATTGCGCTTTATTTAAACTCGTTAACTCATTGTAAATAAAAGAAATTTAATTTATAAATAAATATAAATTTATATATATATTATAATTAAAAAAAAATGTATTATATGAATTGCGCTTTATTTTAAACTCGTTTAACTTCAGTTGTAATAAAAAGAAATTTAATTATAAATAAATAATAAATTTATATATATATTATAAATTTTTTTTGTTATAAATTATAATATTCATGAAAATTTATATTAAATTTATATATATATTATAAATTTTTTTTGTTATAAATTATAATATCATGAAAATTTATATTAGTAAAAATCTAAGATCATTAAAAAAGTAGAAAAAAAATTATTTTATGAATTAATAAAATAAAAAATAACAAAATTTCTGAAAGGAGGATTAACTTAAGTTATTACATTTTGAATTTTTTTTATAAATATTATATATAATAGATAGATAGCTATTACAATAATTAATTATTATTTTAGAGTATTGTTTATAATTTTAATTTTTTATTTTTTATTTTTTGCTAAAGTCTGTGAGCATATAATTAATTTTATGATTACTTTTTGAGAAAAAATTATTTCAATATGTAATATGATTTGCTAATATGAAGTGTTATATCGTAATTTTATTATATATATATATTTTTTTTATTTATTTATTTCTAGTGAGTCAACGAGCATTTTACGTATTTAACTCGTTGTTTTTACTTGTAAAATTATTATTTTATTATATTTTATATTATAGAATAATATTATTTTTGAAAAAAATTTAATTTTAGTTGTAATAATTATTATTACTTTTCCTAATTTTTTGATAGTAAATTCATTTGCTATAATAATTGATTGTCTTAATAATTTTGCTGTGTACACATATATGTTTTTTATTATATATTACTTATTATTCTCACTTGTATTTTAATTTTTGTATTTATAGATCTCTTATTAATTCATCATTTTTCCTCAATTAGTTTTAAGTTTTATGCAATTGTTTGAGCTAAGTCATAGCTAGAGTTCTTGAACTTATGTTTAAGGTTGGACTTGGTCAAATAGTTAATCAAATGTGAAATTAACAATCAAATTCATAATTCTTACAATATTTTCCTTAATTTAGTATATAATTCATAAGATTTAGTAAAATTCAGATTGGAACTATTGCTAACAGCAGCTAGAACGTGTCAATTTGAAGTTAAAGTGAATATAAACGGATATATTATAATGAAATCATCAATCGATATTATGAATATTTTTACATTATTCTTAGCCAAATTTTATTTTATTAATATTTTGAATATTCAATATTACAAATAATTAAATCCAATAGCTAACCTGATACTCAAGTATTTATTTTTTTGAATTTAGATTTTGAATGTTAGAGAAGGTAATACTATTTTCTAAAATAAAATATAAAAATAAATAGATACAAAATATAATATTTAGCTTAAAATCAGCTAATATTATTTTTCTTAAAAATCTATTATTGTGACTACACTCTAATACTTCATTCTTTTTGCAAGTATCATAATGTTGAACATTATTAAAAAAAATTAAGTAGCATATGCAATTATAAATAAAACAATTATTAAGCCAATAAAAATATATTCACGATAGCAAAATAAATAAATTCTTCATAGGTAAAAATAAATTCTTCATAGGTAAAAGCAATTAGAGCTCAATACACACACACATAAATCGTACGATGGGACAAAACTTTTCCACGGTAGAATTCTAATTCCTATTTACAATGGAAGAAAACTTCTCAATTAGTATTCCTAATGTATCATTAATTTAATACATTTATAATATTAAAAACAATATATTATTAACTTACTCTTAACAGAAGTTGTTGTAAATAAATATTATTTATTTATTCATACTAATAAAACGTAATGAGAAACTTTAATATGAGTTCAAATAATTATTTTTTATTGTTACGATAAAATATTACTTCTTATAATTCTTAATTGAGTAGGCAAGTTATAGATAATATTGAAAACAATGGTAAGATTGCTAATTGACTTTAAATATTAGCCTTTTACTATGGATATTTTTATTCATCCAATTATTTTATAATTAAAAGTTATAAAAGTGTTAGAATATTAGTGGAAAATATTAAAATTTATAGTAATTTTAAAAAGATCAAATTAATATAACAATAAAAAATTTTACAATTATTTTTTAACACACCATATATAATAATAATAATAATAATAGTTCTGATTTTCTTGAATTTATTTTTTTTGTAAGATTGAATTTCTTTAGTTTATTTATACTAATTAATATATATTATTAGATATTCACGTTTACACATCCATACTCTTATTAATCGTTTTCAAAAAATATTAATTGTGATTGTAAAATAAATGAAATTAAATAAAAAAAATTAAAAAACATAATAATTCGGAAGCAATTTATATTAGTAAAAAGATAAAAATTTAACATTACCTATTTTTCTGACTTTTCAAGGTAGTGTAAAGAAGTCCATAGGTGAAAATTACCAATAATTTTATAATATATATAAAGCATTGAAATTGATACTTCTCTAGTGTTGAATCTTTAGCTCTAGTATTAAGACCGCCCTTACAAACCCGTAATGACCCACTTCATCACAATTCCACACAAACAAAAACAACAATATTACAGCACAAATAATCAAACAATTATTCAACAAAATGCATCAAGATAACAATTAACATGTAGACATAAAGTTATGATATAAATATATAAATATAAGCTAATAATAATAATAATAATAATAATAATAATAACTTCACATTTATATGCTTCTTTATATGGTAGCTACATATGCATGGTTATAATAGTATATGTACTATTTATTATTACTCGGTCATACTCTTAGAGAAGAGAATAAGTTCTAGTTTGGATTTTGACTAGTAGGAGCGATAAACGAACTCGGACGATCAAGCTAAATACAGATACAAGGAAATGATTGAATTAATAAGGAACTTATTTAAATAGAGAATTTAACAAATTAATCTAACAAGTTTATCTACATATCTAACTGCTATAACTAGACTAAATTTTATCGAAATTTCGATAACTTCTCCTCTGAAAAGAAGATTATCTCTTTATTTTTTTTTTTTTAAAAAAAGAATAATAAAGCAATATAAACACAGCCGAATCCACGGGCAATCAATATCAACAATTTTCCATCATCCATCATCCATCCTCATCACCATCAACATCCTACTATCTCGTTATCCATGCATTTCAATATATCTTGATTAATTGATATCAAATAACATCCTTTGCCTTATTCCATTATCAATTAATGTTAGAATCTAAACATTATCAATAGTTCAAGTACTACACATATGGGATTTTAGGTAACTATTAATGTTACTGCAGAAGTACATAACCTTAATGGTACAAGGTTAATGGTTTATGTTTAATTAAGCACTTAGAATTCTTATAAACTAACTATATTCACTTTATAATATCAAAATAGTATAAAGGTTAAGACATCTATTTACTCATTAAAGAGTTCTAATTATAATCTTGGTTTCAATATGAGAAAAGCCAAGAAGAGACCTAAATGATCTAAAGGTGATAATAGAAATAAGAGAAAAGCTTCTATTCAAATTTAGAATTGAATTACTTAGTTTAAGCCGCTAGCTAAACTTAGAACTAGGGAGATTCTATTGGAAATACGGTAGAGTCTCCTCTAAAAATTGGATTTAACCACTTGTAGAAATACCACAAAATCATTAACAATTCACAAACTCCATCCGTCAGTCAATACTTATTAAACCATTCTCATTCGCCATGGTCATTATTCATTTACTACCACTCATCTGATCACTTAATCAATATTGAAATGACCCAAAATTATATTTTCAAAGATTTTTCATTTAAAAATTTAATTATAAATTCTAAACCAATAGCATTATAGAATATTATTATATTTAAAATTAAATAAATTAACATCCTATGAATTTATTTAACAAAATTAAATGCAAATATATTTTATACAGTTAAACCAAACCTAAAAACTAAATTAAACCAATTGGAAATCACTAAATCAATTGAAAACCAAGTAAAACCCCTGATTTGGATCAAACCGGATCCAAATCAAACCCAAACGATACTAGAACCATCTAGAAACCCTAGGTTACGAAAAATACCCATTTTGTCCTAATACAATTTTCCTCTCCCTCTCATTAGCGCCGACAGCCCCCTCCTCTATCCCCTTTCATTTTTCCAGTCACCACGCCGGCTAGAGCTTCTCCCTGCCGCCTTGACGCAGCCTTCTCTCTCCTCGCTGTTCTCCCCGGTTGGCATAGTAATCACAGGAAGCTGCGGTTCCGTTCTGATCGGGATAACGAGTCTTCAGCCTCTCCTTCGTTTTCCGGCCACCTGAACTCGAGTAGAGCTGATCGGAGCTTCTCCTTGCCATTGTTCTCTGCCACTCACTCCTCCGCCATAGTTTCTGGTTGCTGCGGCTATCACCGGACACTGCGATTTGTTTTCGATCCGGACAACGCGATTCTTGTATTTCCTTTCACTTTCTGACGACACTAACCCTCAGCTGGCGGACGTGATCCCTTCCTCTCCTTAGCAGCGTCTCCAGTCACCTTTATCCCTTATTTCCAGCTTGCCAGTCTTAGCGCGACAACTAGAGAGACCGTGGGGGCTTTTGTCGATTGGGACAGCCCTCTCTCTCTATTCTTTTGGCGTCTTCGGCCAGACGAGCCAAGGAACTGGCCAGTTACAAACTTCCACCGCCTCTAGTAGCTTCGCTGGCCATAACCTTCATCCATTCCAGCCAAGCTTACTTCGACAGAATCGATTTTGAGCATCGG